CTGGCTGGCACACACATGTGCGCCGGAGCTGAGCTTGCATGCCCACCAATAAGGCTACACATGCCATCTGTGGCACACGTGTCATAGGTTCTCCATCATGGCTCTAGGGAAAAACATCAGATGGATTAGCAAGCAAAAAATAATATTGACTATGCTGTGTGTCTATATTCTTCACATTGCTTAATGATTCTAATCCAAAAATAATGAAAGCATTCCTGGAAAAAAAAATCAAGAAATCAAGTGTAGTCAGACTTGCATTAATTGTAAGAGGAATTGTGTGCCATGAACTGAAGACCTTGATGCTTACGAATATCAGCTTCTTTAGTTTAAATATTAATAGCAATGCATGAGGCAATGTCAATACAGATGTAGACATATTTATAACATAATCCCCCGTGTAAATTCGTTACTCAAGTACCTGTACTGATGTTCTGGTCTTTATCAAAAGTCTTCAGATGTCAGCTTTGAGGTTTGAAATTTTAATTGTGCTAGATTCTCCATATGGATGGGTCCAAATCTGTTGATGGTCTAAGTGTACATCTATATCCATGCTGGTGAACCTATGGCATGCATGCTGGAAGTGGCATGCAGAGTCATCTCTCTGGGCATGCCAGCTGTTGCCCGTTGCAACAGCCGTGCACCGGCCAACTGGTCTTCACACAAGCATGCACGCCAGAAACCGAAATACCAAGTGACTGGCACACATGTACAGGTCAGAAACTGGAAGTTCAGCTTCCTGGCGCGTGCATGTGCCCTGGGAAACTGCTCTTATGATTTCTGGTGCTCCTGCATGTATGTGCTGGGGAGTTCCTCTTCCGGTTTCTGCTGCTCCTCCATGCGTGCGCTCCTGTTTCGGCACTTGATGCTGAAAAGGTTCACCAACACTGATCTACATGCTATCTTGCAATGTGAGACAATAAGGGGAAACTCTTAGACAAAATTTGCCTAACATATTTTCAAATGGTCAGGATGCAACAAAACTTGTATGCATCTTATTTCAAGTAGGTACTCTTCCAAGATTGTACGATTGAAGGGGAAAAATGCCCCTCATTCTTCAATTACTTGAATATTCATTAAAATAAAGAGTGCAGGTTTTTCTTAAGGGCTCAGTTTGTAGCAGATGCATTGGAAAGGTTTGAAGGGACAGAGTAATAAACTGTAAATCATTTTCTGATCTTCTCCAGAATGCCACTGCCCGCTGCATTTTGCCAGAAGGAATAGGAAGGAAGCACTTTTAAGAAATTTGATTTATGTTGCAAACAGGAGAAATATAATAAGGCACGGTTGCCTATTATGATAGAAATTTAGAAATGCTCATCTCTGGCAGCAAATATATCTTTGACAAAAGGGATGGAAGTTTGGGCTTTTTTCCAGGGGTGATGGATAAACACCCAGTTCATATGCCAAGTTCATTCTTCAATCCCCACTTTTTGGGGATTGTTCAGTTTTAAAACTAACTTAATACCTGGCTAGATAGTTTTTTGGCCAGATATTCTCCTTTCCTATTCCAAAACTCTGATATAATAATAATAATAATAATAATAATAATAATAATAATAATAATAATAATAATAATAATAATAATAAAAGCAAATTATACATTTATGTTTAAATCCCATCAACTGAGACATTTCCCACTTTAAGAGTCATTTGGCTATTATTCTAAAATGTAGGAATTATCAAAATGGTGAGTCACTTGCATTCCTGGAATTTAAAATAATGTCTGGTTTGGTATTTGGATTTAGCAGAGTAAGACTATCATTTGGAGAATTATGCACTTTTAAACTCTACTAGTTTCAGTGGAAATGTAGATTTAAAAAAAATAATTCTACCATATTAATAGATGAAAAATATATGAAAGATGATAGATAGAAAGAGAGATAGATAGAGAGATAGAGATAGACAGATAGAGATAAGAAAGAGAGGGAGGGAGGGAGGGAGGGAGAGAGAGAATGCACTTAGGCTTATATACCACCCCATAGTACTAGCACTTTACAGTTGTTTCTGAGTAGTTTACAATATATTAGAGATACTGTAGATAGAAATAGCTAGCTAGCTAACTAGATAGTAATCTTATGTATGTTTACCCCAAAATATGTTCTGCTTTGTTTAATAGAATTTATAGCTTTGTAACTATATCCATGTAAAAAAAATGGAACCAAAGTACAAAGTAGGCATGAAGTTAAATCCATGTTTACATTAGTTTAGAAAAGTGTAGATTAAATTTAGTTATCTCATCAATTGAGATCACTTCTCCCCCTCTATTTTTAAAAGATATTTCTCTTTCCATTGATATGAAAATTGATCCCTGAGCCATTGGCTCTGAAAGGAGACCTTTCATGGCAACTTCACTTCATAACTGCTTGTGGAAAAAAACAAAAAGTTAACAGCACAGCATAGAAAGAGTTAAATCCTGTCCTCCTGTACCTTGATGAGGTTATGATCTCTTCCACATACAGCTATTTGAAAGCCAACTTCCAAGCACAGCATATGCATTTCTGCCTTTAATGACAGAATTTCTTTGAGACCCTGAAGCCTAGCTGATATGTATTTTTATCTTACATGAACTTTAGAGCTTCAAATAATAAAGAGAAAAGGGTAATTCAAAAATCATTTTAAACAGAGATTTTGGAATTGCATTGAAAGCATTTAAAATACTTCAGAACAATAGGCAAACCATTAGGAATATGATATTGTAGAAGATACTAGTTGTTGCCATGGAGCTTAGTAATGAACCTGATCCTATGTGAAAAACAAGATGAGGGAGAATTTCACATGTTCAGCCCAAACAAAACTTTTCCTGATTAGAAAGACAGTCTAAGTGACTTTGTTTTCAAAACCAAACAAGACTTGCAGTGGTTGACCAATGACTTAGAAGATGCTGGCAATATGGGGGGAGGGGGGTGGAAATAATAAAAGTATTTCCATCACCTCTGAATCTGCTGAAAGTAGATCAGTTTCTCAGTATTTTTGACAGGCCAGCCAGTTATCCCAACATTATTGTTTTTTTATAGTATGATTTTTATATTCCAAAGCAGTGTTGCTCAATCTAAGCAATTTTAAGATGTGTGGACTTCAACTCTTAGAATTCTAGTCAACGTGCTGGCTGGGTAGTTCTAGGAGTTGAAGTCCACACATTTTAAAGTTACAGAGAAACCCTGTTCCGAAATCTTTTTTTTTTTTTTAAAGATCCTAATGATTAGAATAATGCTTCTGACCTGAGAACCATCCTCCTTCTTCATGTTAGTTAAGAAAAGATGGGCTTTTCCTGAAATGGTAGAAATTGTACTTTTAAAACTATTATTATTATATTGACTATCACCATCTATAAGAAGTGTGATGGCTTAGAGGTTAAATATGCTTGTCAACTGGAAAGCTGACAGCCTGGGTTTGAGACCTGAGTGCTGCATTACCAGGCAAACTGCCATTCTTGCCCCAGCTCCTGCGTACCTAACAGTTTGAAAGCATGCAAATGCAAGTAGGTAAATAGATACCATTTCAGTGGGAATGTAAGAGCGTCTATGCGCCTTGGTATATAGTCATGCTAGCCACATGACCCCAGAAATGTCTTCGGACAATGCTGGCTCCCTCAGCTAAAAAATGAAGATGAGCACCACCCCACAGAGTGGGAAACAATTGGTCAAGGGAAATTTTTACCTTTACTTTACCACTGTCTATAGATAATTTGTGTAATTTCTTGTCTTTCTTTCATCATTTCTTTGGCATTATGCTTCTAACACAGGACTTTTAGTAAGGAAAAATATCCTATCAGCGTATGTGTGACAGTGAAACTCTTTAGCAGGATAGATGATGGGCTACCCTTCCCTATATGAATTCAACTGGACAACTGGACAAGCAGGGAGACTCAGCTCAGTTTGCATGTCTGTGTCTAGTTCTATAATTCCATGACTGCTTGTCATGCATCATCACTGAAATTCATTTCATCTGACTGAATTTCACAAAGTTATGTAGTAATAAAAGCCAATTTTCAATGTTTGAGGATGCTCTGTGGCTTTTGCTGCCAGTACAATAACTACCCCTCTGAGATGAGTTGCAGGATTCAGTGACATGGAGCCGGGGGGGGGGGGATTTTAAAAATATTTATAATCAGTTGTTTAAGACAATTCATACTACTGTTTATCATGAAAGGCAAGGGAAATAAATGTGATTGTGTAATTTCTATTTGATTCAATGAATTTGAAGATAAGAACTTCCCATAATATTTTCTTTAAATCCATTTGCTGTTTAATCTGCTATGTAATACCGATATCTTGCATCATGTTTTAAACTATTTATCAAAACCCTACTTCTTAATGTACAAATGGTTGTTCTTGGAACGATTGGGACTAATGTGGAAGTAAATCTCCTAAGGAGTGAAATGCCAATTTTTATAAAACATCAGATTGTGAAAAAATAAAAGATGAACCAACATACAAAACCTACATTAGACAGTTCTACATCAACTTACTATATAATTACTATTCTGGAAATGTCAAATCTGAATGCAATGTCTATAAATTACTTGGTTCCAGCATCAGAGAAAAACAATGCAGCGAAGTTGAGCAGAAATTTTAAATGGCATTTCTTTCTTTCTGTCTTTCCTTCTCTCTCTCTCTCCTCCACCCCCCACGTCTTTTCCTCTGTGTGTTTTAATTAGCAACATAATGTACTGCAATTGAAAGACTTATTATTCAATGCTTGGGCAGAGAGGTATCATAATCTCTCTTTGTCCAAATGCAACATGCTGCCTTTGTGACTGCTGACATTAATTATTGAGAAAGAGTTCCGAAATAGCACATGTGTTCGGAGCCTTTGCCTGTAACATAAGATAGAGATGCAAGAAGGATTTTCAGGCAGTGATGTACCTGTAGCATTTCGGCTTTTGTATGCCTGAACTGCTGTGAGATGTAAAAAAAAAAAAAAGAAGAAGAAACCTGTTTTGTAGATCAAATCATGGAAAGATGAGTCGTCAAGCTTACTTTTATCGTGTCCCTCCACAGGAGTTGCACCGAAGGACACAACTTCAGCCTGAGCCAGCAAAGACAAAAGCTCTTCAAACAGTCATAGAGATGAAGGTATGGATGTTTTCCCATGTTTATTCCATGTAAGGCAATGACCCCGGTGAGTGCTTGTTGGATGGATCATGGAATTGTCCCTTGCTTTTATTGTACGGAATACATGGATTTATGCAATATGTGTGTATGTCATGTTGCAATCACACCATTTGTTTCCCAGAGAGCGTCAATCAAATTTGTCAGACTCGAAAATGTCTCCTATACAATACATGTGACAAATATCTAAAATACTTGGCTGGGAGAAACAGGGTTTCATTAAAGAGATCTTTTTAACATTTTGCAGTCTTTCCTCAATAAATGCAATTTCCCCATTCTGCTTGATAAATGTATCTGTTTTGCTAAACAACTTGCTTTTGATACATTGTTAGAAAATATTTTGCAGATTTTTTAAAGGAAGGTAGCAGTTTTCTTTATATTAACCATCTCTTTAGACATTTTAAATGGTATCAAAGCAAGTAAATTATTCTCCATTCTATATTATGTTCACTTTTGTTGTCCTGAATATAGCCTATGCTATTTCATTACATCCATAAATTATGAAACAAGTTACCCTAAGTTTAGGTAAATGGATATTGAATAAGATAGCAACTTTCAGGTCTGATCACATGACAGTAAGTTATATGTTGATTTCAGTAATGATATCCTTTCCTACTTCTGTTAATCATCACAAAAGGGTTTGTGGTTGAATAGGTGCTATTGACATATGGGTCATGAAAATAATGGCCTGCATTATGATTTGCAGAACAGCAGTATATTGTTTCTTTTTTAAAAAAAAATGATTTTCATTGAGGAATTTTATGCAACAGTAGTTTCTACAATAATAAAAGTGACACAATTTTAAGAAAAAGAGAAAAGAATAAAGAAAAATGATGACTCAAGAAAAGAAAAAGAGAGAAAAAGAAAATATAAATAAGAAGCTTTCAACCCTCTTTAAAGCAGTTAAAATAAATTTATCTCCTGTCCTCATTCTTTAAGATTATATCCTGATTCCATTCTTTCCATATTTTATGCTTTCTAGTCATAAAACCCATAAATCACCAGTTCAATTTTTCCATTTTCAGCAATAAAATTCCATAAAGGATTTTCAATTATTAATAATTGTTCTTGTTTACTTTTGCCTAGTCACACAAGCCAATTTTGCCATTCCTGAAAATACTGTCAACTTTCCTCCATTGTAGTATGTCCAAATATTTCCAACTTTGTGAATATAATAATTTTGCTTCATTACGATTTATAAAAATAATCTTTTCTATCCATAAATTCCAACAGCATTATTTTGTTTCAATGGTACCTTGGTACTCAACTGCTTTGAAACTCATCGAATTTGGTACTCAATGCATTTTGATGCAAAAATTTTGTCCCGGTATTCATTGTTTGTTTGGTATTCAATGCACAAGTTAGAACTTGTTGGTGTTGCTGCCTTGTGTCTCATTACACTTCTAATGGGAAAAGTCTGTTTGGTAGTTATCGTTTTTGGTTCACATCACACCTCCGGGAACCAATTAATGATGGGTAACAAGGTATTGAAAATCTGTTTCTGTTCTGTAACCCTATAATAAAATTAAAATAAAACTAATTTTAGCATTCATCACTTTGGTATCCGAGTTTGGTCTACCTCAAAGGACTGATATCGGATGAGGCTGCAGCTTTTCCTTGTTGCCACCACAGACTACTTAGGAGTAGAGTGGAATTTCCACTCTTTCTTCTCTCTAGTCTCTGCTTTATTTGCTATCTCCTCCTTTCTTTATTAGCAATCAGGCAAACAAATTCCTTCCCCCAAACACTAATACCTACTGCTTCAGTTACCACCTTTTGTCACCACCCACATGCACTTCCTCATGCACGTCTCAATTGCTTTGTCCCATTTTCTCTTCAACTCTGGTTGGGGAAATTGACTCCTCCTCTTTGAGTTTGTCATACCTCAGAACACTTAGTTTCCTTGACATATGTAGTTTGATTGGCTCTCTGACTTACTTTACTCAGTTCCCGTTCTTCTGATTTCCTTCTTACTTATAATTCCATTCCTATTTACATCTTTTATTTGTATTTTCCAGACTTTAGAATGACACTTTACAGGCTTGCTGTCCTCCCTATCCATTTCCTTTCTTCCTGCAATCCTGCAAGATTATCTCTAGTACTTCTTCCTCTTCTAGTCTGCTTACCCAGACATTTCTCCAGATTTTTCCATACTTGCCTGGACTGAATTTCCTCCCTGATGTTTATCTCATTGAGCCCATCCAGTTAGCTCAATGGGAAAATCACAAAAACACAGATAATCTTTATGAGAATCAGATCTCCCCTCTTTGATCCTGCTCCTCAGAGGATTTAAAGCCCCATTGTATAGCCCATGTTAACAATAAGAATAGAAGGGCCTGGTGGCTCAGCAGACTGATAGCATTGTGATTAATACCAGCTGTCTGCAATTACTGTAAATTCGAATCTCACCAGGCTCAAGGTTGACTCAGCCTTCCATCCTTTCTAAGGTAGGTAAATTGAGGACCCAGTTTGTGGGGGCAATAAGCTGACTTTGTATAAATATACAAAAGTATGAAGGCTATTGCTTAACGCATTGTAAGCCGCCCTGAGTCTCCGGAGAAGGGCGGCATATAAATCAAATTTAAAAAAAAAAGAATGCTTAAATCAAACAAAACATAACTTACTAAGATCCTCAGTGAAATGATATATAAATTTACAACTATAAGGTAAGATCATATACAGTATGTAAAGGAGGGCATCTGATCCAATTTCAGGAAGCATTTTCCTGCATTTTCAGAAAGCTAATTTTCAAGAACATAAATAGTCTTTAGAAAGGCTATTTCATCTGCCATATGTCTTTTAATACCTACCTACCTACCCACCCATCTACTTATCTATCAGCCATCTAAACCTAACATGAGCTAGGAGTATTAAGCTCATTCTGATTTCTAGTCATACTTCAAATGTTAGTAAATGAAAAGTTTAATATCTACACAAAATAACTGTATAGACTTTGCTCATATGCTCTTATTGATTTAGAAGTCACAGCTCAAGCCTGACACATTTTCAAACGATTTCCATTATTACAAACATGCCTGTTAGAATACCATTTGTGCAGGCAGAAAAAAACCCAAGTCTATAACTCACTGATAATCACTTTCAACCAGTGGTGAAATCCAAATTTTTTTTACTACTGGTTCTGTGGGCATGGCTTGGTGGGTGTAGTGTGGCTTGGTGGGCGTGACTTGGTGGGCGTGGCAGGGGAAGGATACTGCAAAGTCTCCATTCCCACCCCACTCCAGGGGAAGGATACTGCAAAATCTCCATTCCCCCCCCTCCTGGGGGAAGGATATTGCAAAATCTCCATTCCCACCCCACTCTGGAGCCAGCCAGAGGTGGTATTTATTGGTTCTCCGAACTACTCAAAATTCCCACTACCGGTTTTCCGAACTGCTCAAAATTTCCACTACCAATTCTCCAGAACCTGTCAGAACCTGCTGGATTTCACCCCTGCTTTCAACACATACACCTTTGGAATTTCTGATGGATTTATAATTCACATTATTATAAACTTCTTGTTAGTATAATATGGGAACAAGTGGCTGAAATACTTAAAAGGGTAGCCTGAGATCACAGTGTTTGAAATATTAAAACACTTTCTTGGATGATACACACACACACACACATACATACACACACACAACTGTAGGAAATGAGCACTTGTATGTTATATGCACATTTCTCTCTGAGAATATATATTTATACACATACATATACACAGGATTTATTGCGATTCACAAGAATACAGATTAAACTGTGTAAGCATAAGCACCAAGAAGTACTTTCCTGCTGCTACTTTATTCCTAAATGGGAAAACTAAATTTCTACAACATAGTTAATAGTTCACTTGAACTATGTTCAATAGTTAGTTGAAGCCTGAGAAAGGTCACTGAATGTAAATTAACAAACAGATGCACATGCAACTGTTAGGAACAAAGAGTTCAAAAGCAAATGAGTAGAAACTCAGGTAGTCCTCGATTTATGACCACAATTGAGCACAAAATTTCTGTTGTTAAGTGAGACATTTGTTAAATGAATTTTATCCTGTTTTACGACATTTCTTGTCATAGTTGTTAAGTGATTCGCTGCAGTTGTTAAATTAGTAACCTGGTTGTTAAGTAAATCTGGCTTTCCCATTGACTTTGCTCATTAGAAGGTGGCAAAAGATGATCTCATGATCCTGGGATATTGCAACCGTCAAAAATATGAATTCCTTGGCAAATTTCTGATTCTTGATCACATGATCATGGGGATGCTGCAAAAGTGGTAACTCTGAAAAACGGTCATAAGTCACTTTTTTCAGTGCCATTGTAACTTTGAAGGGTCACTAAATGAACTGTTGTAAGTCGAGGACTACCTGTTCCTGTGCTCAGCTTCCCTTTATCCCTGCTCCCATTTTTTTCTCTTCTGTACATGCTCATTAGACATACAATGCAATACGATCAGGTACACTCTTGTATAAAATAATTGGGGTAGCTCTACCTTTTCATTGATCTCGCACATTCTGGCTGAAGAACCATCACTTCTAAATCCGTGACCGCATGCAAGCTATAGCAAAGTCTTAAACTTTACATTGTTACATTGATAACAAAGTTGCATTGTTATCAAACACTTCATTTTTATTTTGGTGCCTCTTTGAGGCCCAAGTAGAGAGGAGATAAGGTAAGGTAAGAATTGTATGCTATTTACACAGTCAGGGAAACTTTGCAGTCTCATATTAAGAACTTATTATACACCTTTCTAATGGAGATGCAATAAATAAAATATCCAAAATTCTTAAGTGAATGAATTGTTTTGTGGTTTACCCCTTGCTTCTTGCAGACACAACCATCTTTATATATTGATCCTGCTGTGGCATTTCAGGTATGTTACAGCACTGCTGCTGAAATCTGAGTGTGTAGTGTGCACTGCATAGCTTTTCCTTTGTATTAGACTCTTCTATCTCTAGTTTTATATTAATTTCTAGATTGTCTCACAGTTGCAATATGAACATATTTACTTAGAAGGGGAATTTGGAGTGGAAAATATATAATTTCACCTGATCAGGACAGCTGAATGTGGTGTGCATAAAATTTGGGGAACTGATGATACACTTGCCCTCTGTATGAAATGGCTCAAATACAATTAGAGTAAAACAAAATGTATGTGCCAATTAAAATATAGGGCAACTTATAAGAAATATGACTTTACAACTTGCCAAATACACAAAAATATATTATCTTAAGGTTTTCTTAAAACAACATGAATCTCCCAGCACCCACTAAACTTTCCTGAACTTTCACAATTTCCCCTAGCCCCTCGTTTCATCAAATGTGGACACCCATCACCATGTATGATTCCGACTAAATGTCAGTGGGAGTTTGCTCCAAGCTCCTCCTGTACAAAATTCACGAACTTTTACTTGGCCTATACTTGGCCTATACAAGCAGGGATTCACTGACTTCTAAGAGAATATCTGCAGGTCCTGCTCTTGTCAACATGTTTAGCTTTACCTCATGACTTCTTAAATTAAATTGGTCTTTATCCGATATAATTTAATGTTATATACTTCAGCAAGTCTTCTGTGTAGGTTAGAATAAAAACTATTTTAAATCTTTACTGCTGAGGAAGCAACCTCTGTACTATGCACAACTTGCATTTCTACAAAATAAGAAGTCTTTCTGTGAGGGAAATAGGTGATTTCAAAATCTGACAAACAAAGAAACAAACAAACAAATCCTGATGGGTATCTTAGCTTTCATGGACTTTCTATAAGAAGTTACTAGCAATGGTGTCCTTCTCGTGGATATAATATTTATATATATAAAAACAACACAAATATAATAATGGAATAATTGCAATTATATAATGACAATATACTTTTTGTATAGAAGATTTTTAGTTCATTAGACCTTCTAGAACACAGATAGACTGCAAATGGGCTTCATGTGAGATTTTCCTTTAGTGTCCCTTTTTGTGAATGCTTTGTGTGTTTTTGCTCTCTTACAATATCAAACTTCACTATCTAAAGCTTACAGTACTAAGTCTGTTTTTTCCTGAATGTTTTAAATCTTTATGCCTGTTTTAGGAGCTTAAAAGAAAGCAGAGGCTTACAGCCATACTTTTTGAAGACCATTAGATTTAGAAGCAATGCTGTGGAAGATCCAGTGGTTAGGTTACATTTCTGCAACAATTAATGATCTCAAGATTGCTTCCTCATTTTTTTTATTACTTTATTTTCTCCCATTAAAAGCTTCTTGTAATTCAGAATTACACACAGAGCTACCCCAGAAAAATGTAAATAAGGTATTGCAGCACTATATCATTCATATTTCATGTTCTTTATATAAATAAAATATTACCTTAAAGATTATAGGTATTTTATTTGGCTGCTATCATCTATATTTATTATAAAGATTATATATTGATAAAAACAAAGAAAATAATAATCATAATAAACATAACATACCAAACCAAACATAACTGTAGTTGAAAAGGAGAAAATGTAGTTAATTAATGTGGCAATACCAGGGGATAACAGACTAGAAAACAAAAAATTGGAAAAGATCACACAGTATCACAAAGATACAAAGATCTCAAAGTTTTAAAGCTGAACACTGAAATTAAAAAATTATGGCCTAAACCTTCCCACTGGTTATCAGCACATTGGGTGCCATACCAAAAAAATACTGGACAGCACTTGTGCATTGACACAATTTTCATTTGTCAATTGCAAAAGGCCACACTGCTTGGGTTCACACACATGCTATGCAGATACATTATGAGGTCCTACGTTCTTGGAAGAATTTAATGCTTATGAAGGCCAAACCCAGCTAAAGAATTGACAACTGTGACTTCACATTGTTGTGAACGGAAAACAATAATAAAATTTCCATCTGTCAATTAGAAAAAACCACAGTGCTTGGCTCTGCAATTATATTATGCCAATACACTTGCACTTCCTGGGTTCCTGGGAAAACCTCAATGTGTCTGAAGGCCAACACCAGCTAAAGAATTGGCAGCCGTGATTTCACATTATTGTGTGTACAATAATAAAATAAAGCCCATCAGGCCACTTAGAACATCAGTTCAAATGTTTTGTATGGGAGAACTGTCTGTTGGCCTCATTGGATCAAGATACGGTTTTGAAATGGGTCCCAGAAGATGCTACCATGTATATTAATTAACTAATGTATTCAGTTTATTGCATCATTTAATTGAAATAACTCAAAGCAGCATACAATAGGTTAGAAAAATCACAATCTTCCTCCAATGTATTCATTAGTATGTTCAGCATGTTCCAGTAGAAAGTTCTGACCTAGGCTTCCTGAGACAGTAAAAAGCTTAGTCCCAAACCCCTTATTTTTATTTCAACAGCTGTGAATTCTGTTTATTCACAGCCCATCATGAATCACAAATAGAGTCCGACAGAAGTCTGCCACAGTCCTTCAGGGTAAGGCTGATAAGCACCCACCTTTATCTCCCTTGACATGCTGCCAAAGACCTAATTGGCAATTAGCTTTGCAAGGCCTCATGGAGCACAGAGTCAAAACGGAGCTTCAGAATTTAAATCGACCAGAATGAACAAAGTTGCTTCCTGAAAAGGCTCATGTCCCTTTGGTCCACCTTTATGTCTTATGGGAGGGGCCAATCATCTCCAAGCCTTACTCCCAAGTTGCCCCTTTTGTCTTAACTGTTCTTGCCTTCTGGCAGCGCTGCGCATGCACGCACTGGGAACAGGCTTCCCTTGTTCCTCTGCCTCGCTGATGTCAGACTCTGGAGGCTCCTGAGTCAGCACCTAACTCCCAGATGGCTGTCAAGTTTCATTGTGCTTGAAGTGCTGACAATGGCCCTGGCCCCATCTCTGCCTCTGCCTCTGACACAGACCCCTTCTCCGAGCCTTCCCCAGATTCCAGGACTGGCCCATGTTCCTCCCCAGCCTCCTCACTGTCCGACTCTGCTGCCAGCTCTGCCGGTTGCCGGTGGATCACAACATAGAAAGTACAATAACTCTGATAGAGTTATTCTATAGTTTTTGAGTGCCTCCAAAATAAATTTCTCTGAATAAATCAATGTCAATTTTAAATACTCTGAATCCTCAGCAGAATGCCTTTTCCTTTTGTTAAACAATGAGTTGGATTAAAAGTTGCACATGCAAAAATCTGCTTGCACATGAAATCTTCTTGCTGTGAATGTAACTGTAGAACTATGTAGAGCATCTGGAGTACCAGACGGGATGCATAGCTCTGTGACACAAATTGGGGTAAACTGGCTACTGCCTAAATAGAGGAAATGTAAAACTTTATGGATACCAAATCTGAGATGATGAAAGAAATCTTATTTAAATAAAAAAACTTTTATTTTTTTAAAAATCCTGGTTATATGTTAACTGATGCAAATACCATTTATAGTAAAACATTCTAAAGCCCTTTAAATGTAGAGGCTTCTAAGCAATTTGGACTGGATTTAAATGCAGAGACATTATGTACTTTCAGGGCCCAGTTAGCATAAGAACAGTTAGTGTAATTTCCTATTCCTGGTTTGGCATCCTAACATCTACTGTCCTCCAGAAAGACTCTCTAGATCAGTGGTTCTCAACCTTCCTAATGCCGCGACCCTTTAATACAGTTCCTCATGTTGTGGTGACCCCCAGCCAGGGGTGGGTTCTAATTTTTTTTACTACCGGTTCTGTGGGCGTGGCTTATTTTGTGGGCGTGGCTTGGAGGTCATGTGATTGGGTGGGCGTGGTTAGCTGGTCATGTGACCAGGTGGCCATGGCTATGCGTATAGGGACTACTCAGAGGGCTGAAAAAAGTCATTTCTGACAGGTCCTCGCACTTTTGACTGGTCCTCACACTTATGACCATCCTCACATTTATGCCTGTGCAGCATTCTTAACAACCATGTCACTCATTTCACAACTGCTTCTCTTCACCATGGTGACAAGATAGGGCAAAAACATAAATTGTGAGGACAGTCGTAAGTTCGAGGACTGGTCAAAAGTGCGAGGATCAGTCAAAAATAACTTTTTCAGCCCTCTGAGTAGTCCATCTGCATAAAAGGATACAGCAATAGAGAGGGATGAAGGAAGGGAAGGGAAATTAGAGTAGGAGTGAGGGTAAGAGAGGGAGGAAGAGAGGAGGGGAAGGAGAAAGGAAGAGGAAGTAGGGAGAAGAAGAAGGGGGAAAGAGAAAGTAAGAAGGAAAGAAAAGACAGAGGTGGTAGGTTTGAGGAGAAAGATTGCTGTACAATAAAAAAGATGAAAGGGAAGAAAGCCAACCCCAAACAAATATAAAGATATTAAGATAAAGAATAAATTGTTAAACTTTAAAGAATAAAAGAGAACAAATAGGAATAAATAGCAATAATTAGAAACACACATACAAACATACAACGTATTTTCTTTGAACAGAGTATTTGGCCGGTTCACAAATTTAAACAGTTGTAGGAGGTTAGCACCCACCCCTTTCCTAGAAGAATGAAATATTTTGGGAAATATTAAAAAGACAGAATATTATATTTCCCTGGATGAGAAATGGAGAAGCATATTTTACAGACAAAGCAGCTCCCACCTTCCTGCCCCCCACCCTTTGTTAATGGGTCAGAGGCAGAAAGTCAATCCTTTGTCAAAGGATATTTGCAACACAATAGCAACAGAAACTAACACAATGGGCCCCATCAAGCCATGTGATCCTGTCCACCATTAAAACATCTTTCCAGTCTCCATGTTTCCAGTGTCTTTTTCCCCACTTGGAGCAGAACCCAGAAGGATATTTCTTCCAACCCAGTATTTAGTCATTTCAATTAAATTTACAGTTTCTATATTTCCTTTTTACCATATTTAATCCTCATCTATTTTTAAAAAAAACCAATATTACCCTTCATCCTCATCTCTAATCTTAATCAAATTCATTTTTTCCCTTCTATTCTATATTATACCCCTTCGCATTGTCATCTATTTTCATATCCATCTTCACATTGGTTAATTATGTAATACAGTTGTTTAATACAAATTCAACATTTTAATATAAATCAATTAGTTATATATCTTTTTTGTATATTAATCAATATGAACATGAATATTCCAATTATTTCCATGCAATCCAATTTCTTACAAATCAATTAATTATATTTACCAATAATAATAAACCAAATAATTTCCCCCATATATTCCTCCAAACCACAACTTAACCGTTTCTGCTTTCAACACAATATACAATTAATAGTATCTCAATTATTACAATTCCCTAGTTAAATAGAGCTTTTTTTCTTTTGTATTTTAAAATCTTGAACCTCCTCTTGCCCTAAATTTCCCATTGTTTGCAGTTTTGTACCTACCTTTTTTGGTGAGGAAAAAGAAAAAGAAATCTCTCTGCCTCATTTTGTCACGTTGCAGCTAAGACCCTGCTTTCGCTTTCTCTTTTCAGCATAGCTAGGGAGAAAAAAACTTGCTCCAGGAATTTACCTCTTTGCAGCTAGCTCTTTGAAGCCCCATGGCAAGAATTTAAAGTTTTTTTTCCCTCTAGCCATCAGCTGGGACTCCGGAGGCAGCAATAGATTGGGAGTGGGCGGGGTAAGCGAACGGCGACCGGGCGATCCAACAGAGGCAGAGGGTGAGGGTGAGTGAAGGTGTGGGGGGGGCAAGAGAGGGTTTTGGAGACCCCTGTGAAATGGCCGTTCGAACCCCAAAGGGGTCGCAACCCCCAGGTTGAGAACCGCTGCTCTAGAAGATGCAGGTCTTGCAAGTGTGCTACAAAGAGGAGAGAAACTTACAGTATATGATGCAGCACATCATTTTGGATTCTAAGAAAGCATTGAAGTGCGTAGAGCCCATAGAATGACTGTATGGAGAAGCATTTCCTTTTTTTAAATGAAGAAGTAGAGAACTAATGAAAATATATATTTTTTCAAAATAGCGTTATCTACTCCAATTCTGGGAAATGGCAAGGAAGAAATAATTTCTTCCAGCCCAGTGAAATAAAGTTGAATGGATTTTGTATTCAATTTTATCTGGAATTCCCAGATGATCCGGTATCCTAATACTATCTAGAGCTAACCCTACTAGGCCTCTGAGATCAGCCACTTCTGGAAAACCTTTGAAATAAAAATCTGACAGACACAAAGATATAGGAATTTTAGAAAAAGTTGAAACTACCACATTTTTATCAGTTGTTTCAGTATTCAATATGTCCTGAACAGTATGTTCAGGAGCCACAGTGGTGCAGTGGTTAGAGTGCAGTACTGCAGGCTACTTCTTCTGCCTGTCTGCTGCCTGCAATTTGGCAGTTCGAATCTCACAAGGTCAAGGTTGACTCAGCCTTCTATCCTTCTGAGGTCGGTAAAATGAGGACCCAGATTGTTAGGGGCAATATGCTGACTCTGTAAACTGCTTAGAGAGGACTCTAAAACACTGTAAAGCAGTATATAAGTCTAAGTGCTATTGCTATGTTTAAAGAAATCTTCAAATGAATCTCAAATATAGTGTCAGCAGTTTTGGTTTTCATTTGATTCTTAACCTTTTCTTTCCTTGTGTCATTCTTAGAAATCTTGAATTCTACCTGTTATTTTTCATTGCTTTTCTTGATTTTGTACTCATGGCCAGAGAATTTGATCTGTCTAACCAAATCAGTGCAGCTTCCCTGCCAAATTTGTACAATCAAGCCAGATGGTGAGCTTGTCAATCGAAAGGTTGGCAGTTCAGCAGTTCGAATCCCTAGTGCCATGTAATGGGATGAACTCCCATTTCTTGTCCCAGCTTCTGCCAACCTAGCAGTTCAAAAGCACGTAAAAAATGCAAGTAGAAAAATAGGGACCACCTTTGGTGGGAAGGTAACAGCGTTCCGTGCATCTTTGGCATTTAGTCATGCCAGCCCCATTACCATGGAGATGTCTTTGGACAACACTGGCTCTTCAAGCTTTGAAACAGAGATGAGCACCGCCCCCTAGAGTCGGGAACAACTAGCACATACGTGCGAGGGGAACCATTATCTTTATTTCATCTGGAGCACTGCAAAGGAAGGCCTTCCATGTTTGTTAATAATTCTGGAAATTGGATGGGGCAGAAAAACTATACAAGTAGTCCTCAACGTACGACCACAATCGAGCCCAAAATTTATATTGCTAAGTGAGAATTTTTTAAAGCGAGTTTTGCCCCAATTTATGACTTTTCTCGCCACATTTGTTAAGTGACTGCAGTTCTTAAATTAGTAACATGGTTGTTAAATGAATCTGATTTTGCTTGTCAGAAGGTCGCAAAAGAGAATCACATGACTCTGGGACATTGCAACCATCATAAATGTGAGTCGATGGTCAAGCATCCGAATGTAAATCATGTGACCATGGGGATGCTGCCATGAAAAATGGTCATAAGTCACTTTTTGAAGTGCCTTTGTAACTTCAAATGGTCACTCAATGAAGAGTTGCAAGTCAAGGACTACCGAAACTCTCATTCATACAGCTCGCTTTCAGTTCTCCTGGCTGACTGTATGGAAACTTGAGAGAATATATATTTTCTGCAACAATGGTGCACTCATATTTTCAGGCCAATGCCTGAAGAGGTTAGTCACACATTCACCAATTGTTCTGCCCAACATAAGAGAACAGATGATCTTCTACTTTTCTGCCTGTTGCAGTGGGTACCAGCATCCTTAATTTCACAGTAGCTGGAAACAGAATACTTATTTTTCTGTATTGTACAGGCGGGTAGGGAAAGATTCCACACCCAAGTTGAAGGAATTTTAAAATATTTCCATTCATCTCTTAAGATGGCTCCACGTTAGAAAGTAATGAAATAAGTGTGGTATAATGGTGGCTTTCATTTGGTTTGGATCTATTCCATTCTTGTTTTATCTTATTTGAAGAGACCGTGGCTTTTTATATCAGATGTGGTAGTGAAACAGATGTCTTAAAAAGGTTATAAACTTTTGCTTTCTCACTGCACAATAAAAGTATAGTTAGACCCAGATTTCTTGGCTTTTTTTTGTCCATTTTCTTACATTTATTTTACTTTATGTTCTTTTATTACTTTGCATTCCAGCCTACTTTTCTATTCATAGCACATTCAGAGTGGCTGTTTAGTGGCTTAGACAAGTGAAAATTTTGACAATAATGTATATATTTTTATTCAGCTACATAATTATTACTGAATTTATCTCAGTGCTATTTGGATAAGAAAGGGCTTCAGTTCCTTGTGCCAACTTAGTTCTTTAGATTTATTGCTCTTGTATCACAAGTTATATGTCTGCTTTTTATATAAATAATTTGTATAATAATTGCATACCAACACTTTCTTTACAAAAAAATAGGACACAAAAATAGCTTCCCTGGAACGTAATATCAGAGATCTCGAAGATGAAATACAGATGTTGAAGACAAATGGAGTTCTGAACACAGAAGATCGAGAAGAAGAGATCAAACAAATAGAAGTTTACAAGAGTCATTCCAAGTTCATGAAAAATAAGGTATGTGCAGCTAAGAAAACAAGACATTAAAATTCTGATTTTTGAAGGAGATTGGTGATTGTACTGTGTCAACAAAAGATCTGAAGAGGAGTATCTAGTATTAAAGAAAACTTGCCTGGTAAACAAGGTAGATTTCCCCCCCATTAGTAATTCACTTGCTGAGAGAAGTTTCCATGTTATATCTCAGGTACAGAGGCAACCTTTGTTAGAGCCATGTCAAGCCAGTGTGAAAAATGTGCCTTATTTTGAGGACATTCCCTGGGGGAAACCATATTAAATTGCCACAGAACAAGTACTTTTGTCCCTTTGAATAAAAAATCATGACAATGGCATTCCTGTTATCAGTTCTTGGCCATCTCTCCTTGCCGAGTAATTACAGCAAAGGCACCTGTGGGACTGGAAATCATTCATAGGTCCTTCAGGAGATTTTCCATGTTTGCAACAAACAACCATCAATTGTTTTCAATGTTAGGAAGCAATGCAATTTATAACTCTTCAGTGCAGATATGATGCAAGTAGAATAAAATGACCTCAGATGCAGACATAAAACACCCGAGTGAAGTCTCATATGTCTGATACCCAAAACTCTTGTGATCGTTGTTGACCATTCAGATTTATACTGTGTAAGATGGATGGTCGTATAAATATTTTAAACAAACTAAGAAACAAACAAATACATTAATAGGCTATACAAACCTAAAACAGTACTATATACTGTATATGGTTCACAAGCAATCATTTAATTCTGAGGGTTATACTGTATATTAATTGGAATTCTGATAACATAAAGAGGAAGATTGTAATGATTTTGTGAATAAGGGACTCAATGCAATAGAGTCCATTGTTATAGAGAAAATCAGAGCAAAATGTTTGTATGTGGTTGTTGGTCACAGCCATCTAATCAGTACTTGGATAATCGTGCCTCCTTCTGATGAAAGCCTGCCTAACCTCTGTCAGCAGCCCTGTCCTTCTTCTGACAATTGAGATTTGTAGCAAAAGATCGTACTTCTGCCATTCATCACAGGACCTTTCAAGGTGGAAAAAATATTTATAATGCTGTCAGCAAGGAGATCTCATTATACCCCATCTGTCCAACCTGAGATCACTGATAAAGAACCCCTGATAAATGTAAGTTCTGATTGATAGCAAACAGTAGAACAAAGCTCTTTTCATGGTCAACAACTTAAGGTGTTATAATACCCTTTGGGAGGAAAAAGCTTGGATTTAAAAATAACTGTCAGATGTAAATGCCTTATTCTCCAATGTGTAAATAATGTATATATGGAACATCAGAGGTTAACTTATTCTTTGGACTTTAATGTATTCATAACTTACCACTCCCATTCCTAGCTCCACCCCTTGTATATATAAGGAGCCACCCTCACCATTCTCGTCGCTTCTACCTTGAATATTCAGTGAATATAGAATGCCTATCATAATTAAAAAGAAATATATTTAAAGCTCTAACTCCTATTATCTTTATTGAGTCTGATCCTGAAAATATTGCAACAATAACTATTTAAATTATTTACAATTTAAATGGAAGAGGAGAACATGTTGCTAAAGGCAATCCATTGTGGAACATTGCTAACTTCCCTGGAAAGCTAGGTTACATCAAAGTTTGGGTGGGTACAGAAATCAAAGACATTAACAGCAAACACGTTCTTCCAGATCCCCAAATGTCTAGGTGAAATGACAAGAATAGAAAAATAGGAGCAGGTAATTTGCTGGTTCCATCTTGCATGATTGGCTCTGGCTCTGATGCCAAATAAAGGGCTCGCCTTCTGTTTGCAGGCTGGCTCTAAGAGAAAGAGATGTTTGAGTTAGCAAAATACACGCAAGTCAAGAAGCAGCTTGCACAAAAAGACAATGATTGGGATTTGGAGGAGAAAGCTGCAACACCCTTTGATTGCCAATTAACTGATTTGTTTGCCAGTTAACTGATTGCCAATTAAACTGATTGATGTAATTTTATAACATATGGGCAGTCTTAACCATAGTTTCAACTGGGAAACTGAGCATCCTAGATCAAACTAAGTCCAAAACCACTACAGAATTCCTGGAAGCCTGGCACTCAGACAAATCGGCCATCAACAGGCACACAGAGATAAATATCATCTACATAACATTCAAAAGAAACAATAAAAAAACTAAAAAGATCAGAACATCTTCTCACCAACAATCAACACCCAGATTAAACAGAAATTAATATCAAGTTTTAAAATTTTGGGTTTTAATTTGGCCGAAATTATTTAATAATTTTAATTATTTTTTAAAGTGATGTCTGTATATTTTTTGTGTTTTTAATAGGCTGTACACCACCCTGAGTCCTTTGGGAGAAGGGCGGTATAGAAATAAAATAATAATAATAATAATAATAATAATAATAATAATAATAATAATAATAATAATAATAATTTAAGAGTCTGTGCAATTCAGAGAACCCCCAAATCCTACTCCTGGCTGGCACCGCCCACCCTGCCCGTCCCAGGAGTCCCCACGTGGCCTGTTTTGGATGCAGGTAAATGCAGGCGCGCATGGAGGCATGGGGAGGGTGAAAAACGGGCCTACCGGAAGTTTGGGAGGGCTGGAAATGGGCCTGTTTCGAGCCTCCAGAGGGCCTCCGGAGCTTGGGGAGGCCTTTTTCACCCTCCCAGAGGCTTGAGGAAAGCTTCCGGAGCCCGGGGAGGGCAAAAACGCCCTCCCTGCCATGGTGCAGGAGGCCAACTAGGCCATGCCCACTATGGCCACGCACACCCAGCAACCAGGCAGAGAATCCCTTGCTAAAATTTTTGAAGCCCACCCCTGGCAAGCTCCCTTCCCTTCTAGAATGGATAATGTTAGTTGGACAATGAAATTTCGTAGTTGGACAAGAAAACAACTAACTACCAACGAGCATGGAGGCCTCCACAATGAATTCTTAAATAAATCTAAATAGAATTTTTAAAGACTTATCAGGTCTGGTTCCACTATTTGAGGTGAAATAGATCTTGTGGCAGAAAGTAGTCATGGGGACTACTTGGTTGCTTCTGATGAGAAATGTTTTTTAAAATTGCCCTTGTGGAATGAATGCAGAAAATATTACTTTTTTCTTGCTAAGACATACTGACAGCATTATGTTCAAGATCACTTTACATGATACATTCTGGAATGAGATTGTGCTATGAGATTCCAGCATTGTAGAAAGAGGAAAGCAGAGTTGTTTTAATTGATTTAGCTGTCATTTATGAAAGGAACATCTTTACTTATTTTATGTTAGGATTTATATGTATACCATGCAATTGGTTTTTACATTTTGTTTCTATCATGCTTAATCCTAAGTATTCATTGGAGAGTTACACACTTCTCAGAATCAGCTGACTGGACTGGCCTGCAAATAATAAACAAATAAATATGCAGACAAGCAATGAAGAAAGGAAGGAAGAAATAAAAAATAAACGGAAAAAGTATCCGAGAGAATTTTCATGGCATTTTTACATCCTCAAATCTACCATTTGCTCTCCCTTTAGAGATATTACAAGAAACATTTGTTAACAAGAATTTTACCATCTTGTATGAAGCAGGAAAGATTCATCAGAGTAGATCTGAAATGCTTTATTTTGTGAATGGCAAAACTCTTTACCAGCTTGCAAATCATGTTGAGAATAAAAAGAAATATATAGCATACCTGAAATGAAAATGATTCCATATTCGTTGAACAATTGGCTATCAGAGTTTGGTGAGTTGAATCATCAATAAAAATAGGAAGATCCTTTGATAGAGATTAGGTTGTGTGGTACCATCTGGGACTAATATAAACCACATGCTGCAGTATGTATTGGTGTCAACTTTCCTTCCATTTGTATTGTGTAATATTACTCTCACCCTATTTTTCTTTATTCCAATTTTGGCTCTTTGTCTGTAGTGACACAGTTTTGTCGTCAATGCATTGGTGATATTACCCATTTTCATTTCTCCAAACCAATCATTTCTAAAATGTTGTGCCTTTGAATATTATGGTTCCATTGTATTCTTTAATAATTTATTCTTTAATAATGCTTCTTTGTCATAGTTATGTTTGATCCCAATTAGTTGTTCCTTTCTTCTGTGGTTCTTTTGGGCAGAATCTGCCTTCAATTATGGTAGTTTGAACTTCTCTGAATAGGGGAAGTGCACAGAGACTTCATTCCTAATCATATGTAATCTTTATAAATTATTATGTAATTTAAAAAAAAAATCAAGTAGGATAATGGTTCTGATGTAGATATGTGAGTTTGCATTTTACTTTAGATGTTCCACATGTGCAAGTATAGATAATATACCTTTTGGATTTAATTCTAAAAGAATTAATTTTGTATTGTGAACTAAAAAAACCCAGGAATTTGTAAGAAATATTTCCTTCTAATGTGACTTGGTGGTATTAAAGCTGATAAATATTGTATTTTATTAATTTGGAACATGTGGTCCGATCACTATAAATCTGTGATTAAATTCCAGCTTTTTTTGGCTACCATTCTCTTTTTAAATCCTTTTCCATTTTCAACATGTAGTGTAGAATGAATGAAATCCACAACTAAAGAAAGATAAACAAATAAAGAAAGATGGCTTCAAGCATTTCTTTTCTGCTGTTCCAAAAAGGTTCCACACCCATTTGCACTATTCTGGGGACCCTCCTCAACAATTCTCAGAAAGAGGGCTAATGACCAGATGACTGAAAGGAATATAAATTCCATCCCCCATCCTCCAGTCAGAACTGAAGAAACCTCTTGGATGAGAAGCAAAATAACTGGAGATATTGAGTTCAGGCAATCTTCTTCCTGGGCTCTTCCTCAGATTCATGAGTATTAACTACTGCACATAGTATTATATGTTTATGGTTGTATATTACCTACTATATATGTAATAGAATAGAACAGAATAGAATTCTTTATTGGCCAAGTGTGATTGGACACACAAGAAATTTGTCTTTGGTATATATGCTCTCAGTGTACATAAGGAGAATAAAATACATTCATCAAGAATAAAAAGATACAACACTTAGTGATAGTCACGGTTACTAATAAGCTATCAAATCATACCAGGAAACAAATAAAAACAATATGAATTGAAAGCAACATGGTTATAGTCATAAGTGGGAAGAGATAGATACTAGGAAGGAAGAAAAGAATAATAATAATACAGTCTTAGTAAATTATTTGACAGTGTTGTGGGAATTAGTTGTAAAGAAGAGTGATGGCATTCAGGAAAAAAACTGTCCTTGTGTCTAGTTGTTCTGGTATACAGTGCCCTATAGCTTCATTTTGAGGGTAGGAATTGAAACAATTTATGTCCAGGATGTGAGGGGTCTGTAGATATTTTCACAGCCCTCTTTTTGACTCGTGCAGTATACAAATCCTAATGTGATCATTTAGATAATTTCCATATTCTTTTCATGGTTTTCAAGAGAGTAAAGACTGTAAACAGAAGGAATTTTACACAGATGTTCCAAAGCCATTTGAAATTTCATATTTAAAGCATGATCACATGTACAGGCCATTATTTGAAAAGTCAATACTCGAGTACTGAGAGGCAGTATTGGTAATACTGTCCGAATCATATGAATCATATACCTGCTAAATTGTCACAGGAGCTGCTTGGCCTTACATTGATTCCATAGTATTCATTTAACTGAATATTAAAACAATGTCCTAATAATAAAAACATTTGAGAGGGGATCAAATTGCTGAGATAAGACGAGATTGCTGGAAATGTTGAAGCGGAGGCTAGACAGACATCTATCTGAAATTCTTTTAACTTGGATTCCTGCACTAAACTGAATGTTGGATTTGGTGGCCTAAATAGTTTATTAGGTTATTATAATGTTCTAATGCTAATTAGCTTCTTCCATGTAATGGCCAGTGATTGGATCTTAGGTGGGAGTAGGGTAACAGTATTTTGATTGGCTTTCATTGACTCAGCTGTGGAACTTCTGTATCCAGAAATACCTACAGTCTTAGGACAGAAGAAGCAAAATTACTATGTATTTCCAGGACAAGACCACCAATTCCTATACAGTAATGCATACAAAATTGAAAGGGAAACATTTCCCCTTGATATGTTGAGCATAGTTATTTGAATTGGGAAAACTTCTCTCTCTAGGCTTTTACCTTTGTAGGTTTCCCTAATCAGAGTTACATTCTTCAACGTTTGATATTGACCAACTGGAGAGCAGTGTAGCCCTTTTTCTCCTCTTACTAAATGAGCTTCGTTCATATCCTTAATACATAAGGGTAGCTGCAATTTTTCCAGGATTATTATTTTGTAATATTTTACTTTCATGTTGTATGTTGCCTCCAATTTGTTCACATCATGATAAACAGTAATCCCAAAGTTGATCAAATTAAATATAAATTGCCCATCTGAATGCAACTCAATGTGCAGTATTGAATACAGTATTTGTTAATATTAATTGTCCTCCCCTTCATTTATTGCAGATTGACCAGTTGAAGCAGGAGCTTTCAAAGAAAGAATCAGAACTTCTTGCCTTACAAACTAAGCTTGAAACCCTTAGCAATCAGAATTCAGATTGCAAGCAACACATAGAAGTGCTTAAAGAGTCGCTTACTGCCAAAGAACAGAGAGCTGCCATACTTCAGACAGAGGTAAGGTAGTTTCTTAGCATCTAATAATTATTCAGGATAAATGTTTAGTTAATGGAGTGTGTCAGAATTAAAGGTGACATTCGGGTTACAAATCTGTGCAAAAGACAACATCTAATTTAAAAAAAAATGGCTCCAAAGTAGTAAAACAGTTAGATGCCAAGATCCGTTCTCTAACACTTACAAATTTTCTACTAACCAGATGGGGTTGGGTTTTTTTTTTTTAATTTAGAAGATTTCAGCAGGAAAACCACAATAAGTATTAAATTAAACCTATAATTTAATTTCCCCCTGCTGCTAATATACAATTGCTTTCATTTATCTCTTTTATAAGAATGCTTCAGTTAAACCTTTGGAATTGGCACATTGTTCAGAAGGATATACAGATTAGTAAGAATATAGTAACTGTAAGAAATATGTTCAAAACAAGGGCCAAATGATTAATTAATGGGGAAAGATTCTTTTGACTTTTAAAAAGGTTAATATTTCCAATGGGTGACCTCTGAATTTGCTCAAAGCTGTTATTGCAAAGAAAGCATTGGTTTACCTTAAGTTTGTATCTATTGTGTGCTTGTATATTGTTGTGGTTGAAGCTGAAGTAGTCATTGACAGGTAGGACATTGTAGCAGATAATTTTATGTACTATGCTTAAGTCAGACTGAAGTTGGCGTAGTTCTAAGTTGTCTAAGCCTAAAATTTCAAGTCTGGTGGCATAAGGTATTCTGTTGCGAGCAGAGGAGTGGAGGACTCGTCTCGTGAAATATCTCTGGACCAGTGGTGGGTTGCCCCCGGTTCAGACCGGTTCTATAGAACCAGTAGTAAAATCGGCAGGAGGCCCTGCCCACCGCCCTGGATGTCATCATTAGCGATCTGCGCATGTGCAGAAGCAAGGTGCGATCCTGTTGTGAACCGGTAGTAAAGGTAAGTAGAACCCACTCCTGTGCTGGACTCTCTCAATTGTATTAATGTCTGATATGCAGTGCGGGTTCCAGACAGATGAGCTGTATTTGAGAATTGGTCTAGCATGTTTTGTATGCTCTAGTTAGCAGTACAATATTACCAGAGAAGAAGCTTCACAAGATTAGGTTAACAACTCTTAATGCTTTTTTGGCAATGTTGTTAGTAAAATAAAGTTGTCTAGGAATCATTCAAGTACTCTCCTTCTCCTAGCTCCAAGATGGCTTGTTTATTGTTGTTGAGGATGTGACTGTGCATGTTAATAACTTGTGTTCCTTGTTGCATTCTTCCCTCCCCCTTCCCCCCTACCTCTGTTGCTTTTCAACTGCTAAATTTCAGTCTCCTTGGTGATCTTATTCCCCGATTTTGCAAAATCTTACAATGGTATACAATGGTGAGTTTGAATACAGTTGCAAGGGATTACATGTGCATTGTTGTCATGACATAATATATCAAGATCTAATTTCCAAAATCATACAATAACATACCAAGGACAACAGAAACTACTAAGTTCAATTGGCTGCAGCGGAGATATCTGCTCTCCTTTAGTGGCTGTGATGATGGACAGGGCTAGGAGTGGAAAATAGTATATTAAAAATCACATTGAGGTTCACTGACTCTATTGTCTGCATTTTATTTTCTCTCATGTTGGCATAACTAAAAGATGCAAATACAAATGTGTTTGTTGGTTTAAATTTGTTGTGGAGAATCTTAAGAAAAATAGGCCAGTAAATTGAAAATTCCATTACACTCCATGCATTGTTAAGGGTGTTAATTATAGTTTTGCAATTATCCCTTTGCATTGACATGGATTTTTAACACATGATTCTGTGCTGTTTTATAAGAGAAATTACATTTAATCTCTTATTTTAAGATCATGCTGATACAGTCATTTAGTTTATTATACGTTAAAATTGGTGACAAACAATGTGAAATTGCTGGCTATGTTTTCTTAAGCAGTCTGTAGGGATTTGGTAATTAATTACTGCATACAGTCTAAGTAATTATAAGAACTATCATTATAGCAAATTAAGCAGGAAATCAATTGAAGCACAGTTTCAATTTGTAGAGTATCTCTGACACTCCTTCGTTAGAACAGAGGTAGCTTTTTAAAAATATAGAACCATTTGTTTGACAACAAACCAAGTGTAAAGTTAATAGTCATTTGAAAGGAAATGCTGTAAATGTTAAAATAGGCCTTATCAGGAACTGAAGTTAATGAAAATGATTCCATAATTCTATGAAGAATTACTGATGTATACTGCATATTGCATATTTTTTTTAATGAAACTGAAACAGAAAATAAAATTTCAGGTGCCTTGATTTTAAATAAATAAATACACTTTTAAACCAAACTATCTTTAGATAGTAGTTACTTTCAGTGGTGGGTTTCAAAATTTTTTACTACCAGTTCTGTAGGTGTGGCTTAGTGGGTATGGCAGGGGAAGAATACTGTAAAATCTCCATTCCCTCCCTAATCCAGGTGAGGGTTACTGAAAAATCCCCATTTCCTCCCAATCAGCTGGGACTTGGGAGGCAGAGAATAGTTGGGGACGGGGCCAGTCAGAATTTTTACTACTGGTTCTCCGAACTACTCAAAATTTCCGCTACCAGTTCTCCAGAGCTGGTCTGCTGAAACCTACCTCTGGTTACTTTGCTGACCTTTGTAGGAAACAGGTAAGCAGAAGTGCAGAGAAGGCTGTTTCTCAAATCTAATTTAAATGTTAAACTTATTAAATATCAGAAGCAGCTTTTGAATTAATTCAATGGAAAACAGATGTATCATGTAATATGTGTGTGAATGTGTCTGTATGAGTAACCACCACAAAGTGGGTAAACTGGGATCTTTTGAATTTGCAATGTTTCACTTCCTTGTGTTGTGTCAGCCAAGGTTACAGGATAAAAAATTATCTGCCTGTAATATGCTCTAAAGCTCTTGGATAACTCCACTCCTTCAGCACTATGTTCCTTTAACTTGATAGGACTATAGTGTGTTTCAGTTGGCTTGGGGCTTTTGCTAATAACAAATACTAACCTACTTGCCTTTTATGTATGTGTGGGGAAGTGTATATATGTGTGTGACTGGAACTAGTTCAGATAACTAGGGATATGATGTTATACATAGTCTTGTGAAGCAGTTAAAAATAGGCCAGGTTCACTCAAATTTAAATTGTACATATGAGCACTTGATTTCAAAAGAGGAATTGTGTATCAAAAAATTGAAAATTGATGAAGAGGAATCTGGAAAAAGAAATAGAAAGGGACACATAAACTCTCAGAATACCTGTGGAACAGGGGTGGATTCTAATTTTTTTTACTACCGGTTCTGTGGGCGTGGCTTATTTTGTAGGCGTGGCTTGGGGAGTAATGTGACTGGGTGGGCATGGCCAACTTTTTTTTTCTTTACTTTTAAAAGCATTTTTTCTACAACCTTAAGAGGTTGCAGAAAAAAAATGCTTTTAGAAGCCTCAGACGATCAGGCAAGTCAGCTGGGATCACCAAAGGCTTTTGAAGTGGTTCGGGAATAAGAGAGGCACAAGCAGGCTAGTGACAACAGCTCTTTAATATACAGTGAGACTTCAGCAAAAACTCAGAGGCTGCAGCCCTCCTTATATACAATCCTGGAGGGACTGTCAGCCAATCAGAAACTTAAGCAGGTTTGAATCTCCCGCTGAAAAGTATCAATACATAACACCCCTCCCTTCCCAGAAGGCACTAATACTCAAATATTTACATAAGTACACACAAAATCTCGCAGGTGCCCTGGCCGAGTTCTCGTTCTAGTTGACCTGCGCAGTTCAGTGTTTGGTGGGGCGTCGAGCTGGTCGGAGGGACTTTCTGTCTCTCCCGGCTCCGCCAATGGAACCTCCTGGATTTTGTCCGGGGCGTGGTTATCCCCGGTTGGGAGTGGTGACTCGCTGGGGCAGCGCTGGAACCAGGGCTTGTCAGCTAAGTATTCTCTCGAACCCGGGCTTGAGTTAGCTGTTTTGGGAAAGTTGTTGTAGTTAGGTTCGGAGATGTCTAAATTGATATTTGCTTCGCCGACTATTCTTTTTCTAAGTTGGTCTATGTGGCGTTTCCAGAGTCTGTCCACCCCTATGTCTACCGTGTATGATTTTGGGTCTGTTATGCCCACTACAGTTCCTGCAACCCATAGAGGTCCGCTAGCATAATTGCGAGCGAACACTGGGGACCCCACCTGGAACTGTCTTAGTCCGGTGGTCTCTCCCTTGAAATTCTCATGTGTATAATTGGGGTGAAGCCTGTCTAACACGCACCAAAGCTTCCTGCCCATGAGGAGTTCGGCTGGGCTTCTCCCTGAGGCCGTGCATGGTGTGGCATGCTGGACAGCTAGAAATTGATCTATCCTGGCCTGCCAGTCCCCGTTATCTAGTCTGGACAATGCTTCTTTGGACGTTCTTACGAAACGTTCAGCCAAACCATTCGAAGCCGGATGGAACGGGGCCAATAGGGCATGGCGGATGCCCAGTCCGGCCAGGTAGCCCTCAGACAGAGTCACTGTGAATTGAGGGCCGTTGTCAGATACCAGAGTATCCGGTAGGCCATGGGTGGCAAATAGTTTGCGAAGGACTTTGATGACTGCCTCGGCTGTGGTTGAGGGCATTAGTATTATTTCGAGCCATTTTGAAAAGGCATCGACTACGATTAAAAATGTTTGCCAATGGAAGGGGCCGGCAAAGTCAATATGGATCCTCCCCCATGGCCCTTTTGGTTTCTCCCACTCTCGGATGGGCGTTATCGGGGGATCGGGCCGAGACTCCTGGCAGGGTCTGCACTTCCCCACCCACTCGGATATGACTTGGTCCATGTTGGGCCACCAGACGTAACTGAGGGCTAAACTTTTCATTTGGACAATCCCTGGGTGCCCCTCGTGCAGTAACTCCAAGACGCACATTCTTAGTCTTGTTGGTATTACCACTCTATCACCCCACAACAAACAACCCCCTTGCATAAACAATTCGTTATGTTTGTTAACATAACCCTGGTACTCTCCCCCGACCGCCTTGACCGGCCACCCTTTAAGG